ACAGCGGGGATGTTCAAATCCCAAAGGAGGTAAACTGAAAATAGAGAACCTTCCCTGGGAGGCCCCCTCACCATGTAAAGGAATCCACATTGAGGGGAAAGTTACAATGACACAAACAGTAACTCACATGCAAACCCATAAATATACCAAAAATTAAACAAAATATAGTAATAAACAAACTCTAAATGCAAAGTTCACCTAAAGTAACTGAGATGGTAAAATAATTATAAAAATCTAACTTACCAAATATTGAGCAGAAAAGACATGAAAGACCTAAATTATTGTGTGCGGAAATTAGGTCTATCCACACAAGCTCACATAAACTCACTAAACATGGGTATACCAACTGGAAGTGATGTATACACACTGAAAACTTACCACAGATCTCCTAGGAAAAGCAATACCTAACCCAGCAGATTACATGGAGGCACAGTAACAGGTGGAAAGTGCCATAGAAAGAAGTTTCTACTTAGAAGTTATATCTTTCCTCACAAAATACTGTAACATGAAAGGAAGAAATCTTCAGATGAAATCCCCTTGAACCAAAAACCTTTGCTTCCCCAGCAGATATCATTGACCCTGAGACTCATGTCAGAACCATTGTTTACTATCACGGTAAATTCATCATCTGCCATATTAAATCTCAAATTCATATGAACAAAATAGAATTCAGGAAACAGAAATATTTCTAAAACAAATGAACAGAAACTATGAAAATCAAACACAAGAAGTTGAAAATGAAATAAATTAGTGATAAAACACAATAAAAAATTGTGTAGTGGCATGAAGAGCAAGTTAAAACAGCTGTCCATACACTAGAATGCCAATCAAGAAAGTGAGAATTGTGCTAGAATAGTAGAGGGAGCTACCTGTGCTAGTATAGATGGTGCAGTATGATTGGTGGAGGGCAGTCACAGGATCAGCAGATGTTCTGAAATGGCATGAAAATGAAAGGGTATAAATGACTGGTACATATAATATTCGCAACAAAATTATTAGCAATGCTTATAAGGCAAACCAAGGTTGAGATAGCTTTGGGTGAGGGGTGGTAGTACTATTTCAGAAACATTATTAACTGAACATTAATACATTCTTGTGGTAATATAAGTTTATTAGTTCCTAACAATGTTTAACTAATTTTTAATAGCTTTTTATAAGAATAAGTTGTTCATTTTATAGCTGCATAAATAAATTTAGGAACCAACATTGCATTTAATATCATACAATGGATCATCAGGTTCCTTACTTGCATAAAATAAAATGAGGGGTATCAGTGTTATCAGGTATTGCATTAACTCACCTTCTAAACATTTTTGATCTTTGTTGTTTGTGTCATTATTTCCAGAACATTCTGAGAGGAAATGTTGGGAGGAAGGACGTGACACAACTTCTTCGGTGGCTTCTACAGTCTGGTCGTCCAGAGAAACAGAACTTGACTCCTTAATTATTGTAGTCTTGGCACCCATCTCATTTTCTAAAAGATTCTCTAGTGCCTCCTGTGGAGCCACAAACTCTGGTTCAGTGCTGGTGTCACTCTGATTACAAACACAACAGCATTAAACTCAATATTAGCACTTCTAAATTGGATTCTGTTCACAAATTTGTTAAACATATTTTAAGAAGTTTTACTTATAATATATATATACATATATTTTAAATTAGTTCTTAACTCTCTCAACACAGGCTCAGTCAATTTGACTGACCACGTGACCTTTGTAGTCGTTTAAAATCTTTAGTTTTAATACTACTAACTTTTAATATAGTATGTATATCTTCACAAAATTTGATAAACTTTCAGTAAATATTATAAGTCTTTCACATACAAAAAATCATATTAATAAACTAAAAAAACGATTTGTCCAAGAATATAGAGTATTTTTACTAGTCTGCATATAAAGTGATTTTCATATTAAGATTAAAAATAGTTTTCTTCATCTCAAAAATCTCAAATTTCATTTGCGTAATCTCAAAAATCTCCTAAATACATTTCACGTGTTTGTTTTCAGTAAAACTTTATATTTTATCTATTTTCTCTACCCTAACCCTATATACAGTTGGTCAATTTAACCGACCTCATAACCACCAAAAAAAAAAATCAAAATAAATCAAAATTATTCTTTTTAGAATGATTTTAAATTGTAACATGAAACTACATTCGTTTATTGCAAGTAGCTTTAAACTTGTAACAGTATACCAGTATACAGCTACTTATAATTAAATTTTATTGTTTTATTGCCCTTTGAACCACACATCTAACTACTACTATTCATGCCATTATAAGTTGTAAATCACTTGGGGAATGTGGAGCTCACATTATGCTATTGAATTACCATACCCATAAGCTACTTCGAGCTGCTCGTGGCGAGCTGCTCGTGTATGTGCCTCGTGAAACACTTTTATTATATTTTTATTTATTTTACCATATCTAACTGTAACTAACCTATTTTTACATTTTAGTTACTTTTATAATAATAAATAAAGAATAAACATGAAAAACAAGAAATAAAGTACTTACCCAGGTCTTTTTTTTTGCTGTCAACTGATGATGACACTTAACCCTACTATTTTTATACTACTGGTAGTAATGCACTAAATAATTTTTATTTAATCAAATAACACAATACATAACATGCAAAAAGCAGACAATTTTTCTGAACTATCACAAATTTTCTGGCTTTCTATCTATGCAACAAGATCCATTACAAATTCATCCAAACTAGTCATTATTTTTCTTGTGAGAAAAAAGCTTGTACTAACAAAGAAAATAAAAATTCTCTGATCAGAAAACAATATAATATAATACGTCATTTGGTAGATGAAAGCCTTGGCTTTCTAGTGGTTATGCATAATATAGTATTAAGAGTAAAAGAAAACTATTAACAAATCCTGTGGCAAGGACTGGCACGTGTGGCAAGAGGGGTCTGATTTTCTATTTCATGGCTCTGTAACCAAACAAGATTGAAGGCTATAAATATTATGGTTTGTCTGAACAAATACGAATTTATAGTGATTAATTTATGTTAAATTTTATACTTATTGGAGGGGTGGTGAATAAAATGGGGAAGGTGGGATGCCTAGAAAAAATATGTCACATCTCGCATACTAGGAGAAATTCAGAATTTTTCAAATATTACGTCATCAAATTAAGAACTTAAAACTTGCACATACAAAATGCATGGGTGTTTAAAGTGATATGTCAGGACAGGGAAATAGCAGGAAAACTTCTACTCTTTTAACATTACAAGTACTTGCATTATATGAGCAGAGTATCAATTTTTCTCAAAATTATGAAAAAAAAAGAAACTACACAACACTAATATGCTCAAAAGATTCTGTTAATTTGGATTATTTTCTTTGCTTTCCAGAAGATCCTCATCAAGATTGCCATGCATGTTCTTCTTCCTTTTTCTACAGTTTTTTACCCAATAATCTCTAATTTCCCATAACCATAAAACATTTTATATTTAACTTTATTTCCTTTGGCTGCCATCTTCTTTGTTTATTTCACAAACAATCACAACAAATTACAGATCTATTACTATGCTACTGAACACAATTTTATGGGTAACACGTTTCCACTTTCTTTATGTGACGTGTGACTGAATATGGTCTTTCACATGTGCAACAAGTAGCAAACTTATTTAGATTTAAATGTACACGTGCGACCACATGAATCGATTGAAAAGGATCGCATATGAGCAGCTATAATTTGATATTATATAACTCTAAAAAAAGAATTTATTTATTTCAACTAAATGTGAAGTACTTAAGCAGCTAAACTTACCCCATGAGCCATCACTTGATCTCTAGGTTTGCTAGAAAATATTTTCATGTCTTTATTCAAAATGATGTTTGCCAATTGTCTGACTAATGGCTGATGTGAGATGATAAGGAACACCTGTCAAGATATAAACATGTTACTTTCCTTACTGAAGTACAAAAAAATATATTCTACTTATCTTTGTTTACATAGAATACCCAGTATTTGTTTAACGCACAACCAAAATAAACTGTAACTGAAACAAAATTTGTAGCTAAACTCAGAGAACATGTTTATTTTACTTAACCAAAAATTCATGACTTAAGCAGGCCAAAAGGTGGTAATACAGTTTATACATCATCAGATCAGGTAGTGCTAATTTTTCACTTTTGAGTGTTGCATCATTGAGATTTGGGTCTAAAGGATCTTAAATGATTTTCATAGAACTGATCGTCCACATTCACGTATTATAATGAAGGATGGTTGCTATTTTCATGTAAGCTTAATCAGGTGACTTGATATTTCAGCATAAACAATTAACAGAAGTAACAGATAAAGTATGACAACCTTTAACAAAAGGAATAATGGATGAGCTTCTATAATATCTGAATCTTCAGAATCCAAGACAACAGCAGCTTTTGAAGCAGAAGATTTCTTCTTTTCACTTCCAGTTTTCTTTGTATTAGTTGCCCTCTTTTCTTTGATAACTTTCTATGTATATTCCATATGATCACATACATATCAACTATATTTATTGCTCCCTTTCACTTTACTGACATGGAGGCACTCATCCACAGCTATTACTCTGGCATATTTTTTAGTAAATTAGAAAATTATCCAATAATTACATATTCCAGATCTATCATCAAATTGGGAAAGTTACAAATTTAGGGTTAAAAATTTATTTCATATTTTTTGTTTAGACAATGTTTTTTATTTAAAAAATAATTTATTATTTGTAGCTTTAGTAACACTCGCAGAAATAACCAATAAACTGGTAGATTCCTTTTTAGATTACTACTATTCAACCAGTCAAGTAAAATATAAATTACAGTCTATCTTTTAATTCTTTAATTGTCATATTATAATGGCTTTTACTTATATTAGAGATTATAGCAACATTTTAAAAGACATCACATGCATAAATAATCAAAATGATAGAAACATTTACTCTCAAATCTCTAGACAATAACTTCTAATGACACTCACTTGAGACAATAAAAACAAGGATACAACAGTACTAATGTGGGGTCTGTCATCCTGAAAATTAAAAAAAAAGAAAGAGTTCAATAATTATTCAACTGTATTATTTTTTAAAATATATCAAAGTTAAGTATCTCCAATAAATATTCCATTTTGTTTATAAAATCATAATTTTTTTTTCTATCTCAATATTTACAACAAAATTTTTCTTAATATTGGGAGAGAAGACATTTTTATAACTCATCACTGTTATAAGTTATTCGTCGTTTGTTTTGAATTTCGTGCAAAGCTACACTAAGGCTATCTGCTCTAGCCATTCCTAATTTAGCAGTACTAGACTATAGGGAAGACAGCTAGTCAACACCAGCCACCGCCAATGTTTGGGCTACTCTTTAACCAACGACTAGTGGGATTGACCGTCACTTTATAATGCCCCACGGCTGAAAAGGTGACCATGTTTGGTGGGACTTGGGATGGGACATCATTTTTTAACGTCCTTTCAGCCGTGGGGTCGTATTATATAATATTATCATATCATAATGCCCCCACGGGTGAAAGGGTGAGCATGTGATAAGTTATTTTGCCTAAATTATTCTAGCTTATCATTCAAATTCTATCAAGCTTTCCCTTAAATTAACTGCAACAAAAATACGAGTATAATGTTCCTGTTTCTAATACTAAATGAAACCTGCTGTCATTATGTAATCAAATAGTAGAATGAAGGCATTCCACACTAATAACCAAACAATGTAGTAACCCTGAAACAAAATTATAAACTGTCACGTGTTCTTTCAACATTAACTTCAAAGCAAGTTATCTACACAGATCATAACAAAAAATCAACCCAAAACGTGTACAGCTGACTAAATAGAATAGAATGCATTGTTTTTATCAGTTGGGTAAACTTATTGTTAGCACAGTTTTGAGCCATAATCCCAATATTTTATGAGGTAGAAATCAAGAGGTTAAGAACAACCACTAAATGGATTCCTTACTTTAAAACTTGCGACTAAAACAGATCATGCCTATTCAGCACACATGTTTCTTATGGTAAACTTGAAGCAAGCAAGTGAACACTATTTCACATAAACAAATAATGAACATCTGATATGCAATACGATTTGTCATGAAAAGCAAAAGGCAAATTTAACATAGAACAAGTTATGTATAGATAAAACAAAATATGGTATAGAGGTTCTTTAAAATGGAGACACAGTGTCTGGATGAATTGTATTTTTTGTTAATTGTTTGGTACAGAAGTTACAATAAGTATAGTCATACATTTCAAAGAAGAATGATGAAAGACAATGCACTGTTTTCATGCACAAAAATACTAATTTCAGAAATATACAATACCTAGTATTTGGTACTCTATTTGATATGAAGTTGTAACCAATTTGTAAAATATTATGAGCCTTGTATGAAAAGTATGTTGGTTATTCTAAGGTATATTTTTTTTGTTTATTTTATCCATGCAATTTGTGATTGAAAGGTATATGTTTGTGTTTAATATACACATTACTAAATTATCTTTTAAACATTGTTTACATTGTTAAGACCTTTGTTAAGTATAATTTTAAGGTAAAATTCAAAGTTGAGCAAGTAAGTAGATTTGTTTGTTGCTACACAATAAAACAGCTTCATATTTACTTAACACATTCACTTATTATATTCAGTGTGACTGACTTCTCAATGAAGAGACTTAAATAATAGGAATATTTCAAATATGCATTTTATAATTGCAGTCATAGACCAAAAGAAATATTTTCAGTTGTATGATAAAAAATAATTTCAAAAAGGAAAAAAAGAGTATTTTAAGAATATCATAAATATACACTACTAAGAACGTTAACAGTCCATATCACAATGTTTAAGTTTGATTTAGTTTAATAAGTAAGGCACCCAACTTAAAACCTCAAGTGCTAAAACATAATACAGATCTTAATTTTTTTTAATGAAAACCTCAAAGTCAATAGCACAAACTTACTTACATTTTCAAATTTAATATTAATCAACTCGTACAAAAATCATTTAATTTGTGAAGCACATCTATAAGAAATCATTTTATTTCTTTTTATAGTTTAATAGTACTAAGTACGAAAATACATTTAAGGCAATTTTTTACTTTGCACAATGATCTACACAGGAACTTTCATGGGAACCAGGGATGAATTGCTTCTATATAAAAAAAAAAAAATCATGAAAGATTAAATCTTGAAAAGTTAGAAAAACCCAAGTTGATCAAACTTTACAATGACACAAGTAACAAATTCATTATCAGGTGAATTTACACTATGCCATTATTGGCATGCAGTCTTAATTTCTATCAAATATTTGCACCACTCACGTTTAACCTGCCAATGGTTAAGCCAAATAAAAAGGAAAAAAAATACATCACTATACAATATCCTATCTTACCAGATAAAATTTAATTACTTCTTTTCCATTTAACATCAGTGTCTTTCATGTTATCTCCTTAAAAGTTTGCCTGACATTTCGAACCAAGCCTACCTTACATGTGGCGTTGTTATAATTATATTTAATGAAACCAGTAACTTCTAATTCACTAGAGGGTTAATTAAGTATTTAAACATCATTTTAGTCACTGGAAAAATCTTGAAATGAACTAAATAAGTTGCTCTAACCTCTATTTGGGAATGTTGGCCTCTGTTTGTGAGAGAGTAAACATATAACGGAACCAATAACCGGTTAAGAAAGTGGTTTGAGAGAACATCATTCATATCATCTATCTGAAGACATAAGATGTCATTGAGGTAGTGCAAATGGTCAAGGTGTTCTGCAACAAAATCTGGAAGTCGACTCTGGTGCCTGTTAGATAGAAAATACCACACTAGTTAGATAAACTTCGTAGTCACATGAACAAAAAAGAATCATTAAAGAATAACACAGTGAATTTTAGTGTAAATTAAACAGCATGTTTTACCATGCTATTAATCATAAATTATGTTAAAACACTAAACAGAAATGCATATCTGTTTGCAACAGAAATCAAGATCTTGAACAAGTAAATTAAACATTTTCAGAAATCATTTTACAAACATAAATGTACAATCTCACTTATAAACTAATGTACAAGATATTTCAATAGAAAAACTGCTGTCCTATAAAAATAACTAAATACTGATTGTGAGGACAAACAATGTTATAAATAGTTCACATTGTAATGATAGCACAATGACTGATACGTAACGGGTAACATGTGGTCTAGTGGTTAATGTTGGGCTGTAGAAAAAGTCCAAGGTTTGAGCTGTGAAATGCACCTAAACATGCTTGCACTTTCAGCTGTGTGTGTGTGTGTTATTGGGGGGTAGCAAAATTACTGTGACAGCCATATAAGCAGTATGTGACAAATTGCCCTACCCTCCCTATGGTCAGTTTTCTAAATTAGGATGGCTATACCTGAACCTCAGGAGTCTCTGACCTGACTATTTAACCTGTGTGTTACAAAAGGTATCCTTCAAGTTGAAAATACCAAATATATATATATATTAAAAAAAACTGATGTAAAGTGAACATACAGCATGTTGACAGGTATATAATAAACAAACAGCATGATTTCTAATGACTAGTGCATGCTAAACAAAGGTTATTTAGAGTGTTGAATGACAAACAAAGAACATGTTTATTGCTATGTATGGAACACAAATCACATTGACTGATACACACAAACAAACAGCATTTGAACTCCCAAATATTAAACAGTGATCATAGTGACAGACTCACATAACAAAAACCATGTTGACTACTGACTGGTGCATACTAAACAAAATGACACATTGTCTGGTACATATTGAACTAAAAGCAAGTTCACTGGTACACACTGAACAAAGAGCATGTTGACTCATACACACTGAACATAGAACATGTTGACTTGTACATACTAAACAATGAGCATATTGACTGCTGACAGATACATACTGGACAAAGAGCATGTTGGCTGGTACATACTAAAAAAAAACAGCATGTTGACTGATATATACTGAACAAAGAAATGTTGACTGGCACATACTGAACAGAGCATATTGATTGCTGAGATATTGAACAAAGAGCATATAGACTACTAGTATACTCTGAAAATATCTTCATTCCACTATTTGCAACTGGGAAATAAAACTTACATGTTGTTACAGTATAGTAAAACTCAGCCACCAAATTGTTAGATATATTTTTTCTGAGCTTTTCTAGATATTACATTTCCTGTTATTGCTTAAAAAACCATAAATACTTGTAATGTTTCTCTTGATAAATGTTTGTAAACTTAAGCCTTTAAAATTATAATTTTTTGTATTATAGAAACATGTTGTAACTTCCTTTGGGGCTCAAAATAATGAAACAGAGTCAAGATAAGTTCTAACTTTTTGTCATAAACAATATACCATATTGTAATAACAAAAACTCAAAGGAATTTAAAATAAATTTGTGAAAAATATATGTAATAAGATTTTCAAGCAACCAAATAACAAGTACAGGCTACTTTACAGTCAGATCATGAAAAATTATGATAAAATGAAAATTAAATCAGTCCAGGTCAAACAACAACAAAAAAAAAGATAATTTTACAATATAAAACCAAATAGCAAATAAAGACAGTTTCAGTCCAGCACCATCTAATAAGAAAAGACCATTTTATCCAAAACCAAGGAACAAGTAGAGACCATTTTATAGTCCAGTACCAAACAACAAGACTATTCCATAGTCCAGATACATGAATTCTATGCTTAAGTCCTTGTTGTATTCTGTTAGAACATATATAATGATGTCAGAAGTATCAAAATGGCATATTGGCAAGTATTATTCAAGTAAGCCAAAATAATAATGTTATTTGTCTCTGTTTTAAAGGTTCCGATTTTCTTTTGATTGTCAAACTTCATCAGTATTTGTTATTCTAAAACTTCTGTTGACTATAAAATAAATTGCTTTTTTCTAGCACTAAACATTTTTATATTGAATTTCTAATCTTTCAGACATTTTTTAAGCAATTATATGTTTAGATTTTGTACTGTTTGTTTTCCATACTTATCATCAACCTATACAGATGAATGACAGATTACAAATACCATTTGAGTCAGCTGGTCAAGACATGGGATTTTTGATCTAATATGAGTTTATACATTTACACTTAAAAATTTTGTTTTTCAGAGATTGTATAACATAAAATATATTAATATTTTTTAAAGCCATCTTCATGCTATTATCACTTTTAGAATCCGTATCTTTCTATACGACTTTTTAAGTATCTAAAGGTCCTTCAAGGGGTTGTTTGTTAGTGCATATTAATATAAGTACAGTTTGCATTTTTTTTATGGATTCCATGGAATAAATCATTCCAATTACGTTAGCTCCTTTTAGTTAATTTACTTTTAATATCAGGTTTATTGAAGTGTGCGTCCGAGTTATAAAGACATGTTCTGTGATTGTATAATCTAATTTTTTCTATTTACAAACAAAATTGCTAGCTGAAGCATTATCTCGAGCACATTTAATTTTATACACATTTATTGTAACTTATATTCTAAATACCCCAGAAAAAAGGAACCCAACTCACTCTGGTTCCCTCCTGACACAAATGTCAAGTTCTAGCACATGGCTTCCTATAAACCACACCAGGTTGGAGAAGTACGGAGCAGCAGTTTTGTCACGGATGAACTTCAACATAGCTTTGTCTTGAACTAAGATTATAAGATATAGTATAAATTGCATTTTCTTCCAAAAAGCTTTATTTATCACACTATTTGAAGTATTAAAAATGAAATGTCTTCATCATGACTAAGTTTACAATATATTTTCCATTTGCTGTAATTGATAAAAAAAAAATCTTTTATACAGATTCACATTCCAAACCTCTGAAAAAAACAAAGATCCATAAACACAAATGAAGCAATAAAATTTTGAGTTACAATTTAATAAAAGTTGAAAATCCAGATCAAAATAAAAATGTAGTTAAATACTTGAATTACTCAAAATAATAAATTTAAATTAGTTGATGACAACTACCTAGCTTTTAAATCTTCAATTATTGTGAAAATAACTAATTTTATAATTATTAAGTTAAAAATTTATAAAGAATTAAACAAATGCAAGTAAGTAATACAGAAATGAAGCAGTTAAAACCAAACACTGCAACAAACTTACGACAAACAGTTTGTGAAGTAATTAAGCTAGAATAATATTTCAAACTACATTTGCAGATTACACCCTGTAAACTAAATGAAACAATTTTTCAATATGACACAAACTATACAACATAACTAAAACAGCACACTGCATATAAAACCTTCTGAAGTGACTTGAAGGGGCATTTATTTAAAACTAAATCTACAAAAAATACCCAACAAGTTCAATTGATATCAATGAAAACTAAACTTTAATTTGAAAGTAGATCTCAGAGATAAGAAGAAGCAACATTTGTCTGAAGTCTGCAAACAAAACATATACGATCCGATGAGCTACAACAAGTTTACAAAACAGCAAGGGATGAGAACATGACTACGAAAGAGTAAAAAATAATGGATAACCAAACGTGTTCTGTAAGAACCACTAAAAGTTACGATATAATAGGAATTTGATTATTGTCTCTCACCTTTGAATACATTTAGTGTGATTGTTCGAACAGCAATGCACACCATACTTTCACTATGATTAAAGAATTTGATTGCTTCGGTATACAATGGAAAATCATTGGTATGCTGGAAAAAATACAACTTTTAAACATTCATGGAACAAGCTTCACTAACATTAACACTTTAATGATAAAGAAATTTTAATGAAAATTTTTACATGTCATTCGTAATTCTTTTATGTATTAGATTATCAGCAGTTGATTTCATAGTATCATCTATGTGGATTTTTATTTACAAACTGTCTTCCCTACATTTACAAAGAGTTCACCTAAAACCCAAAGCCAATCATTTTGTTTCAGTCATTCATAAATTTTATCAACAACAAAAAAAGCCATTTCTAAAGTGAAAACTTGGACATTGGCTCTGTTGGCGCAAACTACAAATTCATCCTACCTACTGGGCTTTCTTTTATAAGATTGATTTTTTAGAGATTGAAATAAAACATAATCACCAAGTTTTATTTTTTCATAAAATTTGTTAAAATAACAAAATAATACTACTGTTGAATAGTTCTTTACACAAAACAAAAATCAACTTAAGATGTCAATTTATCACTTTTAACACAAGCCACATCAACTTAGACTGGAATCAATTTAGTTTCTTCATAAGATGCAGCACACAAGTGTGGGGGTCAGTTTAGTTTTACCATTAGCCACTCCACTTTATTCTGGGATCAGTCTAATTTTTCACAAGCCACACAACATTAATCTGAAGTATTTATTTTTATTAAATTATAAGGTTTAAAAAATGGTGAACTATTTTTATCTAATACTATAAAACACCCTGTGTATCTGTCTGTCTGTCTCTGGTCACACACTAGTAACTTATTACGTAATTTAAGTAGTTTGGCTTCCTGCAAAATAGAAGCAAGAAGTCTACAATTGATCGAAAATTAAAGATATGTTTGGATTAAAATGTACAAAAAATTGCACCTTTTTCCCAATTTGAAAACGTATCTTTGTTAAATCATCGAGTTATACCAGAAAGGATGTAAATATACTTTAGTAGACATTTTAAACCATATATTAAAAGCTTATCAAGGTTTTAAAAAGGTCTAACATTAGGTTGTAGAATAATATTAGAAGATTATTTATTGATAGTTTTAAGTGCAGTGAGGTTTAGCCCTAACTGAACTAAAACAAAAAATGTACACAAGTTACAGTGATAATTTATCTCTTTATCGAACACAGGCCATACTTAATAAAGGATTAGCTAATGTTAGGACTAAGACAAGTGGACTTATAGATTTCAGTGTCTGTGATTAGAATTCTTTTGTATTACTCTAGAAATACTGTATGCAAGTCTCATAGGCAGACATATGTGGAGGTGAGTTATCATCTCAGAAAATTATTTTATATCTTGGCAAGTTTGGACAAGTTGTTAGGCTTTAGGAAATCATATCATTCTCAGGATTGAATGTTGCATAGGTACAAATTTAAAATTAGAAATGTATTGTGAGGAATATTTTTCCCTTATCTAATACAAAAAAAGAGACATATATGAAATTGTTTCATAACATACTATGCACTTTCCAGAAAATATTGCAATATCAGTTTTTCATATTTTTTCCTAAAGAAAATTGGGTTAACTTAATCATAACACAAACCTTCACCAACTGCAATTCTCAAAATGTATCAAAAAACTGATTCTATCAAATTTAAAACCTCAGATCAGTAACAATGTAACTGTAATATAAAAAGGTATAACAATAATACAGTATTTATAAAAATTTGGTCTATCCTAACTAATGATTGTGCACTTCCCTTACATTTGGGCAGATACTTCAATTTAAAAAAATAAATAAAACTAACCTCATTGTAGAAGAAGTTAATAGTATGGGTGTTCAACTTCAGAGATAGGGTTTTTAAAAACGATATGTAATACGCCATCACCTGTAAACAGATATTGAAACAAAGTTTCACTCACTGTATCTTAACAGCACAATATAAAGTATCACTAAGCATGGAAAAACTAATGTGTTCAAAGGCACACAATCAAGCATGTAATCACCATGTTTACCGTAACAACTTCAAAAATATATTAATAACTGGATTAAGGTGAGTTTTTGGAAAATTAACACACAATCTTAATAATTTTATTGTTTTTAAATAAAAGCCGTTTAAACATCATTAACAATTTTCAATACATTGTTCAAGTGGAAATACTAATTTGAATGAAAAACAAATGAAAATTAAGTACAAATGACTTGACAAACAGAAAGATGCTTTTACTTTCTGAACACGAAAACTTAGGTGAAAATGATTAATCATTTTATAATATCATAAAAAAAATTTATCCATGGCCAGAGATTATGTTAGGATTTGTAACCATGTGAATCTTCTAATTAGTGAAACAAACAGAACAGTAAGAGCTGTGTACACAGGCTGCCCAGTCACTCAGATTCACACAGTCTGTTCACACTTCTAGTTACACTATGGCTTGTCTGCCAATACTTAGCTGAGATAGTGTGTCATCAGGTATGGGAGGAAAGGCAACTTGGAAAACAAAGAAACTTGACTGACAGTGACTGTATCATTTGAAGTGCATGAACTCTAGCTGTTATGTCCAGCCAAGATATGGACTCAAGATATTGGGGAGGGGGCTAAAATTGTAATTAATTATTACCTATGAGCATCAATTACAATGATTAGTTCATGTAAAGTAATCAATTAATTGAAATTACGATTAATGTCATGAAAATAATCAATTAATCAAAATTAGTGTTTCCAACTGTTACAATTTCCAATTATTCCAAATATCCAAGTAATCAAAATACTGTACTTATGTTATGTGCAGCAACATTTCAAAACTTTGAAGTATCTTTTGGCACCAATTTTGTTCAAATGAAATCAGCAGAACATTCCTAACGATATAATTTTCCTACACTGAAAATGTATTTCCAAAAGGTTCTTACCTCCGCTAACATAAGTAGCCGTTCTCTCATGACACATGTGACTCCCTCTATTCAATTCTACCAAACAATCACTTCAAGTTTTGGCAGAAGATGGAAGCACCGGTTTTATGTTGGGAGGAAGGGTGGGAAGTGTGAGCAGAAGTAAGTATCTCTCGGAATACATTTTCAGTGTAGGAAAATTATAACTTCTGATACAGTACATTACCTCCTCTCACATAAATAGCTAGAATAGGTGGAGAGAACAGTGTGAGGAAAATAAAGAAGCATCCTTTGAAAGCATCCGAAGAACACTCCCTAGAATGAGACAGTCAGATTCTAAGATCTGATGTGGGGAACCATTGAACCAGGTATATTCTTTGCACATCGTAGAAGGATGTCGCACATATGGGCAGAAAACAAAGGAGCACATCCAACTGGGAGATAACTATGGCCAGAAAGTGATCCAAACCATGCAATATTTATGAAACTCAATCCCAGAAATTATAAAAGTGGGTAAAATGAAAAGTATGTACCCCCTAGGTGTACAGTGGCTAGGGCACGATGGACCATATACAGTAAGTCAACTACATCCAAAACCCATGCCACTGGGAACCAACATTCATGCAGAGGTAGGATGAGGATCATACCATCAGTAAGTCAACTGCAATCCAAAACCCAGGCCACCAGGAACCAACATCCATGTGGGGGTAGGAAAGAGGATCATACCACTGGCAAGTCAACTACAATCCAAAACACAGGCCACCAGGAACCAACATCCATGTGGGGGTAGGAAAGAGGATCATACCACTGGCAAGTCAACTACAATCCAAAACACAGGCCACCAGGAACCAACATCCATGTGGGGGTAGGAAAGAGGTTCATACCTGTGGCAAGTCAACTACAATACAAAACTCAGCCATCTGGCAGAGGTAGGAAAGAGGATCATACCATCTTCACCTCATGTTCATGAGCTTGAAGGGAATCTAGTATCCCCGACTCATGATCAAGGTACATGTGAATATGATAAATTGATAGATCGATCTGGGAACCCACCATCAAGTCTCGAAAAGATGTCTACATAATGTAAACCATCTCTCTCAAAAGTGAAATTGAATGGAACCACCCCAAGCACATTAACACCCACGGAATAACAAACACTGAAGGATAGCAGTAGAGAAAGAACCATAACAATCCGCAATTACCTTCACTGTGATCCACAACAATGATGGAGTATAAATGAGTGAGGAATGTAGACAAATGTAATACATGTGTAAGGACTTATGTTGATTGGTTTTACTCTAAATCCAAAACCCAGCTATTGGGAAATGATATCCATGTGGAGGAAAATTGAGTGATCCCAATCAAAGGGGTGAACTGCAATTTTGATGTCTCACTCCCATTTGTTTTTATGTTTCATGTTGGAGGATATCATGTCATCTACACCAGCAGAACACCACTGCCCTACTCTAAACTGAATGGTTTTATAATCATTTCTATATTTCGTTTATATTTCCTTAACCCATTCAGGAGGATGCCTCCACAGTCCACCACCCCAGTGGCTTCGAAGTGGAAAATGGTAAGGACTCTCAAACTACACCAGAAGAAAAGGAGAGTAAAATGCAGCGGAGAGTCCAGAGGAAGAACAACACGTGAGACAGTGCAATGGGTGACCACGAAACCCTATTTTTAAAAACAGACCATACCAATTTATTCAATACAAGGCATGACAGGGATGGGCAAACTTATGAAGCAATTCTATCGCGAGGATAAACCTACAAGCAATCTTCTGGACCACCTCATCTCTGCAGTGTGCATTGTGTGGCCATGGAATTATAATATGTAAGTTGATATGGTTAGACAGTGCGGCACCACTAGCCACAGAGCAGGATCCAAACAATGAACATTAATGAAAGTAAAAAGGGCCCCTGAAAAGGAAAAAAAGAAATAAAATAACTTACATGGTCAAAGTCTCACTAAATTCTGATATTCTAGAATGGCTACAGGCAGAAGACGATAACCTGAAGAAGAAGAAAACCATGATCCAATGCAAATAGTGAGAGACAAACATATCATGGATAGTCCAGGTGCTTGATTGAAAAAGTATCTCCAAAAGACAACAAAGATGTAATGCCAATGAAAAGGTAAGGTGTCGATTTGGGTGAAAAGACTCTCAGAAAAAAAGTATGGGAGGAAGACAATAAAGAGGAAGGAGCGAATTGAATGAAAAGCCAAACCCAGTTGGTGAAGGAGGAGGAAGAAAGAACACGAACAGAGGACGGTTGTCAAGGGAGAAAGAGGTGAGAACGGAGACTACAGAAGGAAGCTGTGCCGGCAATATAACAGAGAAGAGCACGTACAGGACATAGAAGTGTATCCAGATCAGGACGAGGATAAAAGTGTGAAACAAAAGGAAGGGAAAGTGCCTAAATGGAGGAGTTATCCTCTAGAGCTGAAGAAGTGTTAGGGAGTAAAAATGATCCAGAGAAAAGAGAAGATATGTAGAAGGATAAAGTGTACATGAAACATTGATGGCAAATAAACAGACCAACGACATCCACATGCAACTAGGAAAAGGGGCGGAAAACATAAGAGAAGGTGAAACAAGGAGCACTGAGAGAGTGGTTCGAACATAGACAAAGTGAGGCAGTGCAGGACCACATTAATATCCCCATCTGGTCAAGTCTCTTTGATAAAACCCGAAGAACCCATGGAACTGGAGTAAAAGATCGCCAAAGGGTAACAATATAATATAGTCAAGCTTACTGGACCAGAACCCTCTGGTTAGTCTCTGGTACTACTGGTAACATGCTCATCAACACTGAATAAAACAATGAGATGAGAAACCCCTGGAAGGGACAGATAAATAATCCCCAGGATGGGGAAGGAATAGGGGCGTGTCATGACTCCAACAGCGACAAATGTGCAACCAAAGAGGGAAGGGTCGAGTGTTGATACACAGATTACACATGATATTCTAAATTCTCAGATACATGATTGAAAACATATCACCAAAGAAAAAATACAGAAATCCTCCCCAAAAAAGAGGTGGCAAACGACCTGGGACAAGGTTGCATCGTGACCCAGAAAATCCCAACTACAGTAAAACCACGTGTGTAAAGCAAGAGCCAAAGAAGACAAATGAGCCAACATGGAGGTAATAATGAATCACAGAAAAATGAGGAACTGGATAAAACATAACATATCTAAAAAATCATGCAGAAAAATGCCATATTAGGCCTAGCTGATTCTGCAGAAGGGGTAAGAAAAAACATGGCAAACCCAGTGGTGTAAAAAGGCTATCAAATCTTCATTGGCCTGAACAGGTTCGGCTTGTTCAGGAGAATTAGTGGGGCAAGTTCTGGAGAAGAAGGTTTACCCATATAACAATCAACTTAAGGATGGATAATAGCAGAAAAATCTAATGACGGGTCTTCCCCCACCTGCAGCCTGTGAAAACAGTGCCAGAGGTATAACACCCAAAGTAGGAACATGAACCTCAGAATTCATTGTAGAAATACTTAAGTCAAACAAAAGAGTTTGATGTAAAATATGCGAGTGTGAGAAAAAAAAATAAAGACTGGGAAATTAAGTTAAATTAAAAGATTTCTTCAAGGTAAAGAAAAAAATAATAATGAAGAAATCCCACCTCAGAAATTAAACTATTAAAATCATGATTCACACAAAGAGCACCAAAAGAGAAAAACGTCTGAACATAAGTACTGCCAAATGAGAAGTGATAGTTTGGTAGAATTGAATAGAGGGAGTCACATGTATCACGAGAGTATGTTGCACTCTTATTGGTGGAGGGTTGACGCATGATGATTTGCATGAGAGACACATTAGAATCAGTCAATTCTAATGGAGGGGAGATGGAAAGCTTGTGGCATGCATAAAAAATTTTGAATATAGAGGGCAGCACTGAACGAGGATAGTTATTTATGTGAGTGGAGGTAATGTACAGTATCGGAAGATGCATCACAAAATACAGACTTTTTCACAAGCATAATACATTAAAAGAAGTGCATAAATATAATGTGGTAGTGTTGTATTGCAAAACAGTTGTGAGTCAAATATATAGTGCTAAACACATCACCCATAGCATTTACAGCTTGCAGCTGTGATTACACATCTCTGCTAGTCACTTATATATAGTGCAATTAACCATCCATAAAATACATTATATATAAATTATTCTTAATGAAAAATATGCATATGTTTTTTTTTTATTTCTAGTCAATAGAGTAGGAAGAAAATGTATTCTACTTTAACTTTGAGTGTTCTATCTCAAGATAGTTGACTAAATGATGAAACCGGTAATTCAAACAGAGCATGTTCACAACTATACTATAAACTAAGCTACAAAAGCTAGAGATACATTTAAATCTAATATTATATTAACACTTACCTCTTCATCAGAGAAATCAAACTTGTGGACTATTATGGAATTAATATGGTTATTTGATAGAAGATAATCTGTGGTATGAAAAAATGAAGATTGAATTCGTGAAAAACTTGTGTAAGGTTCTTTAATGTCAACAACAATTACAAAATATTTATATTTTCTCAACCTTATAATCAATATTTGAATCGGAATTTTAAAATGTTTATTTATATTAAGCTCAAATAACATAACCTGTGAATTACACAATTATTTTTATTATATATACTCTAAATAACTCTCAGACAATAGCATCTAAAAATAATTAAAATTTTAAAAGTCCAAAGTGATATAAAATAGTAATTTAAAATGATAACTTACACAGAAGTTTTATCTATATTTAATCAGGGCTGCACAATTAGTGCTAATCAGTTAATTGATGGTCCCATTAATCGATTATATTTAATTGTTTTCCTCTAGTCATTAGTTCAAAAAGGAAAAAAAAAATGGTTGGTGGCAGGTGTTTCCAGCTACTTGCTTTCCTTATAGTGAGCAGTTCAAGAATTAAAATAACAAAATAAGGAAAGCAAAAATAAACAAAAATGTTTTGCAGCAGGTGCTGACAGACAGTTGTTTTACCTCAAGTCATCACTTCAGGAAGTAAAAAACATAAAAAAATTAGAAATAAGGATGGCAGAGGATGTTTCCAAATAGTTGTCATTCCTATAGTTAGAAAGTCAAGAAGAAAAAGAAAAAACAAATGAAAACAGAAAATTTTAGTGGCAAGTGCTGTCAGACAGTTGCCTACTCTTTTGTTAGCAGTTCAAAATGAGTGCCAGTGCCAGTTAGCCTTCGATTTTTACCATAACAAGTTTGTTGGCAATGGAAATTGAACCAGCAACCATCAAACCCCAATCCCCTCCTCCAAATCACCAAAGCTGAAAAACTTGAAATACAAAAAAAAATTATAAGGCTAAAACAGAGCACAGGTAGCCCATTATGTAGTTTTGTGCTTAACAACAAACAAACATAATTGCAATACTGGATACTTGTAAAGACTGAAAATAGTATTCATCAAAAACCAGGTTTATAACAGTCAACTTACTGTATAAGATGCACTTTTTTACCCCAAAATTTGATGTCAAAATCTGCTTGTGTCCTATACACCGAAGGTATGAATAATATACATGTATATACAATATACACAAGCCATGTGTAAATATATTTAAATAGGCATGCATAGTTTAGTTTAATTGAATGTGTTATTTATAACAATTGTAGTTTTTTTCTTTTAAAAACATAACTATTTATAATGCTCCCTAAATAATAAGAAAATAAATTACAGCAAAAGCAATGAAGATTTTGTAGGTTTTGAACCAAACTAAATAACAGTAAACCTTTTTTTGATTTACAGTATTTTTTAATTTGTTCAATAAAAATCTTTCAAATGCAACTGTAGCTTCCCCCCCCCAAACTTTGTCTTCAAAATAAGGGTGCGTCTTATATTACGAAAAATATGGTAATCATAATTTTGATTAACTGACTGTTTGAATAACCAAAATTAGTAATAATCAAAAACATTAGTTTTGATTAATTGATTATTTTTGTAACAATCAATTTAATCACAATTTTAGTTAATTAATTAGTTTTTGTGACACTAATGGATATAATCTCTGCACATTGGATTCAGATTATATTGATTAATCAATTAAATTGTCCAGCCCTGGTTTTAATATACAAGACATTTTAATTCTGTCATAGTTTTTACTCAAAACATGTTTTGAATTTCAAGTTAGCTTACACATATTAAAAAACAACAACATAATTTGTATATTTTAACATTAACAAAGGAAACTAGTTTAATCATAATTCACAACGCTTTCTTCTTAAATTTTTTATCATTCATAATATTTCACATTCATTTCACCAGAATGGCATATTTTATTTTAGTGAATTAAAATACAGTATATTTATAAAGCATAATGGTTTACTTACAGAGAGATGTTTCATTACGGATGTTCAAAAACAAAATATTCAGTGTTTGTAGAAGCTGTATACATACGTATCGCCCACATTTCTGTTTCATGATTTGTAAAAAGAAAGATAGCATGTTCTTCTCCAGGAAAAAGCTGAAATATATCCAACTAAAAAGTTATCATCATAACAGAAAAATTAAAAATTAATTTTTAAAAACGTACAAACATAAGGGTTAATCATTTTTTTGAGATTAATAAAATTACATTGTCTTCTGCATATTGATCTGTATCAACAGCTTTTAACAGTTACAGTAACTGAACAATTGCAGGTTTAATAAAATTCTACAAAAATCATTCAAATGTTCTTTATACTGTCATAAATAAATGATGGGTTAATGGAAGTAACAATGAAAGGAAGATTTTGCTAAAAATTACATAAACTTGAAATTTTCAAATTTAAACTTTGTGGTACTGGATATAGAAGATATAGGATGGTTGTCATATTATTACATTATTCTTTACTTTTACAAGTTCTTCTAATGTGGTTGTCATATTATTACATTATTCTTTACTTCTATAAGTATGGCATTTCCAGTATCACTAATTTGAGTACTTATTAATTTCTTCGGAGTACGCTATACATTATTTTGATGGTGATAAAAAGTAGACCTTGACAATTAATTAATATAATCATTTACCCATAAAAATCAATTAGTGTCACATAAAATAACTGATTAATCAAAATAACAATCAAATGGAATAATATCTTGAAAATGATCAACTAACAAAAATGAGCATTTTCAACCATTTCAACTATTCAAGTAATCGAATAATGTCTTAAGAATTATTAACTTATTGCAACTAGTCTTTTTGATTATTCCAACAATTCTAATGATTAAAATATTGCAATTATGATTTCTCATTATTATTTTATATTAATTCAAGGTTGTTCAGCTTAATCGATTAGTGTGTCTGTTTATTAAAATTCCACTAATCATCCAGTTCTAACTGTAAGTTTATGAAGAGGAAAGAGACACTTTTAGATTTTTTCCAGCCTTCAAAACAGAGACAAAAGTACATATAATTACAAAATATATTAATTACATTTATTACTAAATAATAACTTTCACTGATTAAGATTTACAACCAGTTTGTACCATTAGGTTTTTTATCATATTCAGGACTTTCAAAAGCATTATGAGCCACCAAATAAATGTGACAATTTAGCTCAACCTACTGTGGTCTCATTCCTTCAATAATACGCTTTCAGAGTATCACTGACATGCAACTGAGATTTGATTCAACCTGTGTTCGTAATATTATTTTATAGCTTGCTAAAAAATTATATTTAAAGGATTTAATTAGATTTATACATTTGGTCTGTAGTAAAAGTTATTACAAACATATTAAATTAATCCATTATATATTATTCTTAGGGATAAATTACATTTACAAAAAGCAGTTGTACCTTAATTACCATACTGGCCCGATTATAAGGCAATGCCTTTTGATTAATAGTGAGACTGTAAAATTCATAGTCGCCTTATAATCAATGCCAACCACACGCCCCTTCTCCCTACTCTAGCCTGTTATATTCCTGACTGTCGAGATAGCATCTTTCTATGCACGTGCACCAGATGCTCGGTCAAGGTCATTGCTAATTCTTATAACTAATCCACCAACAGACTGTTCAGTTATTGTACTGATTTTGCAGACCTAAAAAAGGATGTTATGACACTCAATTTTTGTCTTTCTCATGTTTCCTGAAAATGGGGGTTGCCCTATAAAATTATTTAAGGCATGCCTTGTTTTGTCTCACAAATTACTATTCTTAAAACCTAAGGATATATATATATATACATATATACATTTTTTTAACACTCTTACAAAGCTAAAGAGCTTCTGAGGTCTTTACTCCCTGGTCTCCCCACCTCATCAAGGTGCTACTGTAGACCTACTGGAGGCCTTGGCAGCCCCCCAATCATTCTCCCCTCTTGGATCCCTCCTAAAATTAACATTATACCTTCTAACTGATTTTAAATTGAAAACTGGAACAGTACTAATAAGTGTTTGGTCTATATTGTGTCTGTATCCAGTATACTATATATGAAATTGACTGCCTATCTTTTCTAATATTCACTCGCTGGGTCTGTTTAAAATAACATACCACAGTGGAACCAGATATTTTTAGTGAGATGAATAATGATCTTTTCCTTTTGTACTATACCTCTTATCTCACTAATACTTTTTTATAATTACTTCTTGGCTTTCATACAAAAAAAAATTCCTATCAAATTCTTAAATCATCTGTACAGCAATGATTGACTGCTGACAATTTATCTGGACAGTGCATGGTTATAGAATCTAACTGGAAGGAATTCACTTGGAAATGGAGTTCAATGCATCAACCACAAAAACAAAACACGAGTTAAGCGCATACAGAGTACTTCCTGTAACAATCTTTCACATCACTACACGTGCACATCTCAAGCATCTAGAAGTGCTACAGTGGCCAACTGTAATGAGTAGATGTAATAAGAAGAGGCTGTCTCTTGGCACTGTGCCAGCGACTTGGTCCAACAAAACTTCCATACATCAAATTTAGTTAAATTCGGTAATACACACTTTTAGCCATGAGCCAGAAAAATATAATTATATAGAATGAGATGGGTCAAACGGTTGTTTATATTGTGTTATGAAAATACAATGTAAATATACATACTTCAGCTACGTATAGTTTTCCCTAACCAAATGGTTTCCAACTATGTTGCTACAGTTGTCATGAGCAGGCCTGTAAACTTTTCCGATTTCAACAGGAGTTTCCCGATCTCCCAACACATGACCAGGATCTCCCAATATCAACTTTTTTGATAATTTAACAAAGAGAATAGAGTCACAAAATTCAACTTCACAGAGTGCCAACCAGGATAAAGTAAATATTTACTGTCTCTATGTACTTTGAAGAAAAATTAAAAACACAAAGTTTATAATTAACTACTCAAGATAAATTAAATAATCTGAATTGATTGAAGAAAATAGCACCTGTTCTGTTATTTTTATTGTAAAGATCAATTTATTTACAAAGTTTTGAATTCTTAAGCTGTGGATGACCGATCTGAAAGCCAAAGTGCCAATTTGTTCCATCATATCACTATTTTTCTTTGTTGATTTGGTTTAGCAGAAATACATTTACATTTTTCATTGAAGTGGTTGACACTATAATAAAGTAAGAAAAATATTCTGGATAATAACAGCAAAATGTTTGTGATTGGTTTGGGCAGTGGTTTCCAATCTCTTTTCACTGACAATAACCCCCTTACCATGATATGCATGACACCCCTGCTGCCACATGCTCCACCAGAAAATTTAGGAAAAACAAAATGCACTTTCATACATTATGGGGAACTTCAGACAGTTATTTACATTTATAAGATTGAAATGATGTATTTTTTTTTTTTCATTTACAGTGGGCTTGTATACTAAGAGAATCACAGTCATCTGCTGATATTGTTATACACTTTTATTGTAAGAATAAAAAAATAAAAAATACAGATATCCTGATTAGTGTTCTTTCTTATATCCGTATGTTGCACTTTTGGCATCTTTCAATACCTGCTTGCTGGGCTTGTACTTACTGGCTGAGCAATATGAGTTAAACTTGAAGTTTAAAAGGGCACATGCTCTAAATCAGTCCTATTCTCTGTTATAATTTTTCTCACCATTGAAAATGCCCTTTCACTCAATGCATTGGAATGTCATACAACAAGCTGACATTATAACAATGTCACTCTAAGAGGATTCAGATTTTAGTGAAGCACAATACTAGTTACATAAATCAAAATTGTTCCAACTAATTTTACAGAATGATTTTTCTAAGTCCCGCCCTTACAGCTTAAGCTGTTTTAACTCTACCCCATTAATATCACGATATAATCTCACAAAAGGATCACTTCCACATATTCTTACACTGCTAATGAAATCCCAAATAATTATTGCAACACAAAAATAAATTAAACATTGAACTAAAAACATGACTTGTAAATATCATAGCAAAAACATTAATGTGTTGATTTGTTTTTCTATAGAGGGTGTTCTGAGATAGATATTTGTTTCTAGTTTTGTTTTATTACATTTAGGACTGCTTTTTTTTTGGCTCTATTCAGTAGCTGAGTTTTGCTATGTTTGTTTCTACTCAATCTAGTGGCAACCTGTTTTAAAGTAAAGCATTGTGCACATAAAGCAGGAAAGAAAGGGACAAGGAAGGAAAAGAAATCCAGGCTCATGGGCTCCTCTCTCCAGTAATATAATCTCCAATTTTTGCCACTTAAGAATTGGACTTCTAGATCAACTCAAAACTCATCGTAGAGATAATCCACGAATCAAGGGCTTGCCAACAAATAAACTGTGATTAATGATAATGAAGGGGTAATCTTATTATTTTGGTGTAATAAAGTATGATTAATAACAATGAAAGAGTAATCTTATGATTTGGGTGTAATAAACATAAAAAACTGGTTGTTGTTGAAAAGAATTGATTAATCTGTAGTGTAATTTGCTCATAAAGCTTTCTTTCTGGAGCAAAAGTTGAGGTTTGCCATAATGGAAGGTTGCATAAGAATTTAAGAAAACACAGTGAGACATGGAATTTACATAAAACTTAAGTAAGGAAAGAGAAAACCTTGAAGTTAATAGAGATTAGGATACAAAACCTGGGTTTTAAACTGTTGTTGATGAAAATGAGGAAGTTTTCTATCTTATTGTCATAGTGTATCTATAAAGATGGGCCTGGCATAGCCTGGTGGTTAGGGAGCTCAACTTGCAAGCTGAGAGTCACGAGTTCAAATCACTATCTCCAAACATGCTCATCCTTTGTGGTGTAAAAAAGTTTTGGCTTCCAAAAATAACATCTGACCCTAAACTAGTTGGGATTATGGTCATTATGGAGATGAAGTATATTTATAAAGATACACATGTAGTGAACACAAAAAAAAACTATGACTACAGTGTATTTACTGGTGCTAAATTTTTGGATACTTTTGAAAGGAACTGGCAGGAACCAATGATAAGCTTTTCAGAGCTAATAATGTAAGTAATGGCAGATGAAAGAAGTTATTAACCAAGGACACACAGATGTTTTAAAACTTTATGGGGAAAGAGAAATTTGCACACCATGGCTTCATCTAAGTAGCTTTAAACTTTAAATGACTATTAGGAACCACTTAGATAAGAAGGGAAAACTCATAGGATTTGGATGGCAAAAGATATAAAATAAATCACTTATACCAGTGCTTCAAACAAGTGGGGTACACCTTCTGGGGAGTCATCATAATATTGCTGAAAGAGAGACTTTGAATATATTAGAAAGCCCTGAAATAAACTAGTTGTCTGGAGCAACTAAAATTTTAAGATGACCAAAAACAGAGGTGAGAATATGGTCAAACTATTTCCCTATAGTGCTGGATAGTAAAAAAGGTAACACAAACAAGTAGAAGTTAGTAAAAGGCTTTTCATAAGGCAAGCCAAAACATCTCACTAAAACTGGTAAGATGAAAATGACTTTAAAAGCAACATTGTGTTTTGTGTAAAGAATCTTTACACATAATTAACCTTCTTTTGTGCAAATTCTTATAAACTGAGTGGAAAATGTCACTCAGATTGTGAGGAAAGAAAAATGGTTATACTTAAGGAGAACTCAAGATAGAAAACATTTGGAACTACTGGATTATACAGTTTAACTTGTAGAGAAGTTGAAAATAACCTTGGGTGTTTTTATACTAATACTTTGAAATAATTTTCTAGAGTAAAGAGTCTGGTTTTAGACAGCTTGTTAGATGTAACTGTCATCGCAATTTTGGTTAAATGAAGATTATAATAATATTTTACACAAGTCTTAGGATCTTCCACATGAATGGCATTCCAGTGGTGGAATGAGTGTGTCTTTTATTATAGGAAAGCCACATCGAGCTATCTGCTGCATCTACTGAGGGGAATTGAACCCCTGATTTTAGCATTCTTAATCCAAAGACTTACTGTCCCACCGAGAGACATGGTGGAATGAAAAGACTGGAACTAAGTATCTGAATATTTGGATTAATAGTTTAAACATTAGAATCCCTGATACCAACTTGCTCTTCACAAAAAAAAAGATTGTGAAATGATTTGCTTGATGATGTAGTGTTTGTTTAATTTCTTTTAAACTTTTTGTATGATACATATATACATGAATGTAAAAGGCTGCACACTTGGTTTTATACTGATTAGTTGGTGGGCAAGTGATGATCACAATAAACCAAATCAACTTCTCTCATCTTGCTCCTTCTTACACTTATATTCTTATATATACACAACAGAGCTAGCCATGCTCTTTGAAAAAAATCTCCATGATTTCACATTTTTGTTTTCCAGATGTGCAAACATACAACACACTAATAATTCAACTTTTCCTGAGAATTCTACCTAACTAACACCATTTTAGGGTAATAAAAACTTCAGAACAGACTACTGTACAACAGGAAAATATTTTCAAACAAGGGCACTGCAACTTGATGGTAGATGATACAAAATATTGCATTTGTATTTATAAAAGGGTATTTAGCCTAACCTATCATCAAATACAATGAAATAGATAATTGCCACCAAATAAAACAATGTTTGACCAATGTTACATTAAAATATACCAATAATTGGCATAGCTATACAGCATGGTTTGTGTGTATGTACAGGTTCTGAGATAAAGGTTCACAACTTGTTTGTGATTTTTCCATATTTTAGAATAATTTTTGACATTCCCCGACTTTTCCAGATTTTTTCCTCGACCTTGCCCATTCATACATTTACAAATACTTTAATAGTTAAGGATTTCAATGCTATACAACCAGTAGACATAAAAAATCAGCTATGTTTTAAGTAAATCTGAATTTCCACTACCAGCTTGGATTAGAGTACTAGAATCAAACCACAAATTGGTTTATTACATAACAATGAATTAAACTAACAGGAAATATTTAAATGTACCATGTCAAACATCTGAGTTTACCTTCAGACACAAGGGACATATACACAGCGCGGTCACAATTAAATAGACACCACCTTTTCAGAAAAAATGAAATTTTTCAGTTTTTTCACATGAATTGATATATTTATA